CTCTAATTCGCGATTAAACGGGATTCCGAAGGTTTCGGCACTAAGCAGGTTGTTTTCCTTTTGGGTGATACTTATATTCGAACAACAGAAATTAAATTTGCCAGAAATATGCTTGATTCATTCAGTTGTAGCAGCTTTCATGAATGTCGTTAAAGCTGATGATTCTGTTAGCTCACTATCTACCAGTGTATCTGTTTCCTCACGCAGCGCTATAACACCAGCAGTTACCAAATTATAAATATTTAAATTTCGACGGAATTGTCGTTTTATCTCATGCTCATTTATTTTCGGAAAAAACATGATCTTGCTATTTTCTTATTAGTTTTTTTACATGTTTATACACCCAAACCAACAAAGGGAATTCGATTATCCCATTCACTGCGGGGTATTCGCAAGTTAGGGTACTTCTACTGGCGAAAGAGAAAAGTTCATGGTGCCATTTTTCAAAATAATTATTAATCATTCTGTGTGAAGCTATCGACAAATAGCTTTTATGTATTTTCACTGCAAATTTTACGATATACATAGCACAGTGACGATAATTACTACAAATAATACTAACAATCAGTAATAAAATAGTAACAACATACCGACAGTGGTGCCATACTGTTTATGAGATGGTGCATACATGGCCAGTAGTAGGAGCACATAAATATTCCACATGCCAAAAGTACCCGTAAAAAAGGCGCTTGATGAATGGACTAACAAACTTTCAGATGGATTATCACTGTGGATTTGTCCTTCTCCATACTGAAAACACGATTAAAAAACTAACGAAATCATGGGATATTTGGTAATCATTGAATGAAATCTTTATCATACAGTATCACCAATAATTAAATTCTTATTAATCTAATATCCATTTGTTTATGCGCTGGATTTATGCAGAAGTTGGAAAGAATGCTTCCTTTTTCACTAAGGAAGGAGTCATTGATTTTCGGAACTAAGAAGTTAATTATTGATCTTTTTTTAGTCACAACTGACTGTCTCTAGAAAGAAAAGGGAAGTGAAAAATTTTTAGGAAGCATTCTTTTAGATAAGCATACTGTTTACATCTCTTCAGTAGTGACTGCTGTAATGATAGTACAGTACATACCGCAATGAAGCAATAGTATTCGCTTACCTGTTTCATAATGTAAGTAATGACTGTTGATGCAGCGCATACTAACGTGAAGAACATCAAAAATTTAAAACGATAGATGATTGCTTCAACCTGAATTTATGGAATTCTTTTAATGCATTCAACTAGCGAACAATCTTTACCAATAGATCTGAGAATTCACCTCATAAATGGGAGCCAAAATAGTGCACATAAAATAAGCCAAGATACATTTTGTTTTGAATAAAACAAATTAAAGTACGGATGGTTTCAGTCATGTAATTACAAAATCCGACATTTAACTTTTTCGTTTTTATGACCAGAACCCATTATCATATGCATCTATACACTTTTATTTATTCTAATTTTTATAAGCCCATCTTCCACATATGCGAGTAAATGATAGAGTATTGCCACAGTAGTTTTACCTTCCCTTTGAATCCCATAGAAACTTTTGAATATTACTTGCAATTAGAGAACTAAGTTGTAATATTGCTTAATTTAAAAAATTAACATTGGTAAATTTATTAAAATGGTTCCTGCAGTGGCAATATAGCCACCCGAAACAAGTGACTTTTGACCCTACGATTCCTAATGAACATTCAGACGCCTAACAACCTGTACAGCTTCATCATTGCTAGCTCGTGCCTAGTCAATAGCGAATATTACCTATCATAGTCCGATCGAAAAACGGTGGATCTTCAAAAATTGTCAAAACATTTCTGTTTGAGAAATTTGAGTGACTGAGATTTTTCGGGCTTTGGATTGTAAACCAGAGCATCAGATTCACAAATATTGATTTAACGTCACTGGTATAATCAAAAAGTCCTAATTTTTGGCCAAACACAATTCCAATTCAAATTCGTTGTTAAATATTGGTTATGCATCTTTATAATAAAAATAAACTTATATGGAATAATTTAACCTTTTTTTAGTGGCCAGATCTATAGCATTTGGTAAGGTTGGATTGGTGACTTTTCGGATTTCGAAAAGCAAATTCAGAAGGAAGAAAATATCTCAAGTTTTAATTTATAGATACTTTGCGGATGATAAGCACCATTCATTGTCACTTCAAAGCTTCTCTATCGGGTGCAGTTTGGCTTATGTGTGTAATAAGGCAAAAGCTTGAGAAGTTGTCGGATTTCGAAAGATAAAATGTTACCTTTGTTTGTTGAAAATTTGACAGGGAAAGCGACAACTAACTTTCAATCGTCGAATTTCGCTGCTGCGATAAAGTTGAGCAGATCGTTTCCTTTTGATGGTTATCCATACACGATATATTTTGTAAGCGAGGAAACCAAAATAGAACAGTACGCAGAGGGATGCTATATAAATTGACGCATACTGAAATACGCGAATACTTGTAATAAGTGATATCCATTGTCGAATTAATTTGAATAGCAAAGTCTCGTTAAGTAGTCTATGTATTTGCAAATTTATCACTTTAGAGAGCTTACCGCTATACGTGAACCCAACTCAGAAGACCATATGCTGAAAAACGGATTCAGCAACTGCATACCACGTTCGGCCACGTCATAAATCAGTAAACACGCTGAGCCAATCAAAACGGATGTCAAATTTTGCCAGTACGAGCTCTGATGTTTACAATTTAAATTTAGATTAAAATTGGAAAATTTCCGTTCACCAATCATTGTCCTGTCAAGCTTACTCTGACCTTTCGTCAATCTAATTAATTCAAAAAAGATTAAAATAGGTTTTTCATAATAAAAAAGGCGAGCTAAAAATTAACTGTGCTTGATTCCACTAATAGACGTAATAAGACACTTTGAAAAAATGGTAAAATGATAACATTTATAAATAAATAAACTTTTAGCGTCCCTCGACCTTATTTACACGACAAAAGATTGTAAAACGTTGAATTTAAAAAATAATAATAATTAAATTTGTAATGCAGTAAAATCACGATCATCACAATCATTAAATGATGACATTCATTCGCTTGTAAATAAAATCAAGAACATTTGCTAAGTTTAAAAATTGGACCCACCAAATTATTTCTAGACGTATCGTCGATTAAATGTTCACCGGTAAAGATAAGCCAAAAGCTAAACAGTATGGCGTAGAACAGGCCCTGTCTAATATCACCAATAAGAAGCATAAATGGCGCTCGAAACCATAAAGATATCCATTCCAGTGGAACTGAAAATCTCAAAATTTCACATTCCAAATTTCGGTTAGGAAAGAAAGGCCGTGAAAGCTGTGTTGCTGTAGTGATAGAAGTGTAGCAGTCTTGATATATATCCGATAACGACATCTGGATACAACATATGAATGGATTCTGGTAGTTTCAAGTAAGCGGAGGACTGATAACAAGTAGTCTTCATGAATCTTGTGATATTCTGGCCTTTCTAGAATGTTTTTATAATAGAATACATACAATCGAGGATTGCCAAGCTGATCCCTAAGGCCATAATAGCTTTTTCCAGCAAATAAGAATTTCGATTTAGCGCCACAACACGTTTCCAGTACCAAATGACGGCAATTGTAACTAGCGGAGAAACCATCGTTTTCATAAATAGCCAAATAGCTGTGAATCCACCATTTTGATGAATGGCCTTTAAAAAAAAAACAACAATATTCCTACTGTCACCTCGTTATGACGCAATAAACAAATGAATAAGTAAATGAATCAATAAATAAGTTACCAAGTATTTAAAACTCTTTAAAGATTAAAGGTCGATGTGCAAGTTTTCGAAGCATTCCGATAATAAAAAGAGTGATTGAAGCATTAAGTTTTACTTACGATCACTCGCAAATCATTGATCCTTCCAATGGCACAATTCGGTCCCTTTGGCATCGTTCGGCAAAGAGATTGATTAACTGGTAAACGGATATTGATCAGATAGAATGGATACGGATTGGAGCCAAGTTCGAATAAATCCAAAGATGCACAATTGTAAAGGTGACCTTCAAGTTTCTGAAATCCATATCAGCTATGAGCAGCTAACCAGATAGCTAGTAGATAATTAGTCAGTATTATAGTAAGCAAATATGTCGATGAATAAATAAACTGCCAAATCAATAAGCAGAAATATATTAATCTTGACGTTGAACTATACCAAAATTCAAATAATCGGCATCAGTATTAATCTGGTCTTATATAAAGTGATCAGTTGTTACAATAACTTGCTGCAGTTTCTACTGTATTCTATAGCAACTTCCTCGAATTTCTGTATATGGCAAAAAGTATTGGCAGTAGTATATAAGCAAACTGAACGATCAAATTTTACGGTATCAGGTATACTGCATTCGAGCATTCTGGTTGTATTCGTGGCGATAAGCTCATGCCATTGATCTGGTGGATCGGTGCGTGTTTTATAGCCAAGTCTAACTTCAAGTTGCAATACTGCACTTGTGGCTAAAAATACAGGCAGTTGACACTATAAGTTTTTACAGATAATCGACCAAATTAGATTTGGGCCATATCGATTGTGTATAAATCGCAGATGATGATAAATTGACCAGATGGAAAGAAATGACAAGCAATAAATGGAGAAGAAAAGTAGAGTCCAACTTTCAGGAAAGAACATGAAAGCAAAAAGTTGTACTAAGACAATTTATTAAGTCCATCCTATCTCTTACACCAAGCCTCGCTTCTATTATATACAAAGAAAAAGTAAAA